GGCCTCGACCGGCCCGCGGGAAAGGCCCAGCCCCTCCCTTCTCCGCGCACCCGAGCGGCGCTGCAGGAGGCCTCCGTGTTCATGTTGTCTCCTCTTGGAGGTCTCCCCCCCCCGTCAGAAAAAAAACCCATCTCAAGGTGTGTCGTTACAGAATCGGAGTCGTGCAGGTTGGAAAAGCCCTTTGAGATCACCAAGTCCAACCGCTCCCCTACCCCTGCCATCCCACCACTAAGCCCTGGCCCTAAGCACCTCCTCAGCCCGGCTGTTAAATCCCCCCAGGGATGGGGACTTGACCCTGGGCAGCCCCTTCCAGTGTTTGGTGAAGAAATTTTTCCTGATGTCCAACCTAAACCTGCCCTGGTGCAACTTGAGGCCGTTTTCTCTCGTCCTATGGCCCTTTACCTGGGAGAAGAGATGGACAATTATCTCCACGAGAGGGAGTTTGGCCTGTGAACTACCGAAAAAAGAAAATACAACATGCAATCCGCCTCGGAGCCAACACTGCTGACTTAACGATTGACCAAGAGATGAACGCAGTGGACGGGAGTGCTTGGGCCTTGCTTTTTGTGTCTGCCAGGTAGTGTCCCCAGACCTTTGACAGAGTTGCAAACTGCTACCATTTATGTCAGAATACAGAATTGCCAATTTTTGTCAATGTTCTCCCAAAAAAAAGTCAGTAAGTACAGTGTTCTGAATTTAACCAGTGCTGTTATTTAGGCTGTCGTCACTGGTAAATGCACCATTTTCTGGAACGTGCATACCCCAAAACATGAGATAAAAAAGAAGAGGGGCAGAACGAGCCATTTGTGAGTACTTCACTCTTCCCAGCTTCTACAGAACTTTGTGGCCTTATGAGCCTTCGCAAATTCCAGCATTTCACTCTGAAAGAATCATCAGATTCTGAAAAATAAATATTCTCTGATTTTTCTGTGTTCTTGAGAGATGTGCATTTGCTGGGCATCACTCGGGAGTCACGCAGGGTACCGTTCATGTGCCACTGGGCTTGCCCAGAGTCTTGGACACGGGATGGGTTGAAGCCTTGGAGAGGGCTCCTGTAGGAAGGGCTGAAGCAATTGTGCTCTGCTGCTCTTTCAGCAAATGAAGGCTCTTTCCAACCGTGGGCCAGGTACCAGCGACATCAACAGAGGCATTTCAGCTGAGCCAAACGCGGCTGAGTCAGTCGGCACTGTGTGTTTTTATTTTAACTGGTGACTTGGCAAGATGGGCACGTTTTTCCTTTCTTCAGAAAGATGGGGAGGTAGGTTTGAAAATATTTTGTCAAAAGGAGCATGAGAAAATAGTTATTTTGAGCGAGAGGTGGGTACTTAAATGAATCAAAATATCTTCCCCACCAAAACCGAGCTTAATTTTCTATTTATATGCAATCAACTGACTTCCAGACAAGAATGAAGTTACTTAAACAGCATTTTTTCACAATGTTGATGCGAGTTGCTCTGGAGCCAGCCTGGCCTGCAGCGGAGTAGCAGATCTCAGCGCACAGGGGGTTTTCCTGAGGCAGGGAAACGCCAGGGCTGCAGAGAGACCCACCAGGAGCCAGCAGCTCTCGTGACAGATGCTGACAAGGCTTGGGCATTACCAGAGCAATGCAACCACCCCCTCTCCCCCCCCATAAAAAGCAGCCTAGGGAGTGCGAGTGACCAGTGGCATAGAAGCTGGTTCAGGAAAGGCATCGTCACCCCACCAGCTCGAAAGGTCAGTTCAGTTGGTGGTCATCACCCTCTCAAAAGGAGCTTAGCTATGGCATCCACCCAACAGAAAGCCATGTCCTCTGCACTCATCCGAACTGATGTGGCGACCCAGACAGAGCTCCCAGGAAACCATGCAGCCACCCAAGTCACAGGCTGCAGGGAGTGCCAAAGCCGTTCACTGGTAACGATGACAGTAGTAAGAACAGCCCTGCGAGGTGTGACCGGGTGGATGATCTGCTCCGCTTGGTGGCAGAGCTACAAGAGGAAATAGAAAGGTTAAGGAGCATCAGGGAGTCTGAGAAAGAGAGAGACTGGTGGAACCAGCCTCTGTCCTCCCTGAGACAGAAATTCCAGACACAGTATTCCAGGTGAGCCAGGGGCTCCTGAGGTAACAGGAGCCAACAGGAAAACACCAGTGAAATACCTTAAAGGAATGAAGGGGTTTTCCTCTAAGAAGGTGACACAGTTGACAGCCCAGCTGAAGTGCTTCTACACTAATGCATGGAGCAGGGGTAACAAACAGGAGGAGCTGAATTCTGCCATACTGCTAGAAAGCTATGACCTATCTGCCATTACTGAAGCTTGGTGGGATGAATCCCATGACTGGGGTGCAGTTGTTGATGGCTACAGGCTGTTCAGAAGGGACAGGCAAGGAAGGAGCCAGCCTCTGCCCTCCCTGAGACAGAAACAGGAACAGCCACCAGAAAAAAAACAGGATCAAGGGGATCCTGTATCCTCCCCCTGCCAAGTGGAAGGCAGTAGCTTAAAGGAAAGGAGTAAATGGAGGCAAGTCTAAGCTCAGGGTGGCAGGAGACCCCCTCCTTGTCTACCCCACCTTCCCAGGTACCTCTGTTCAATAGGTGTAAGGCTTTGGACGGGCAAGGCCAGTCAATAGATGACGTGGGTGATGGTCCATCTACACTAGACGTTACCAAAGTTAGAAAGGCCTATCACCCGCTCAAGGGGAGCCTATTGACGAAGCCTTCTTACTCCAGCTACAGGAGGCAGTCGTGCTCGCAGGCTCTCGTTGTGCTGGGGGACTTCAACCACCTCAACATCTACTGGAAAAGTAGCACAGTGAGCTGTAGGCAATCCAGGAGGCTCCTGGAATGCACTGAGTATAACTTCTTAAGCCAAGTAATAGCCCTACCAGAGGGGATACGCTACTGGAAGTGTTGGTCACCAATGCAAGTGAGCTAATTAATGATGTCAAGAGCCTGGGCTGCAGTGATCACGCACTGGTGGAGCTCACAGTCCTGAGGGATATGTGTCAGGCAAAGAGTAAAGTCAGGATCCTCCATTTTAGGAAAGCAAAATTCCAGCTGTTCAAGGAGGTAGTCAATAGGACCCCCTGGGAAACTGCCCTCAGGGACAGGGGAGCAGACCAGAGCTGG